GAATGAGACTCAGTTTTGTTTTTCTCAGGAAGCTCATGTGTATTGGGGTTGGGGCACAGACCTATAGACAAGAAAGTTGAGTAAGAGAGATAAGTGTTAAAATAGAGGTGTGTACTGGGTACCCTGGAAATATACTACAGAGAGAACAATTGACTGTCTGGGCCTGGGAGGGAGGCTGCAGGGATTTATAGAATGTGTTATAAAGGAGAGGATTGCAAATGGAATTGGGAAGGGCTGGTAGGAGGAATTTGCCAACTTGACAGAGTGAGGAAGGGGATGGTGGGCAGAGGAGTCAGCATAGCCAAGTGCATGGAAGCATGAGGGTGCATTTGGGGAGTGCAATGAGTTTGGTGCAGTTGGAGCAAAAAGTGAATGTGCCTCAGGAAGGAATAGTATGTGAAGAAGATGGAGATACAAACAAGGTTCAGTTCTTAAGGTCCGTCAGTGAGAAAAGGCAAGGCTAATTTGTAGTTAAAAAAAAATCTATCCCCAATCTCAGTGGCTTTCCACAATAAATCCTTATTTCTCGATCACAACAGCCTACTGTGAATTGGAGTCTTTCCTGGGTGGCTTTCCTCCACATGGTGACTCAGGGATCCTTGATTTTGTGATGCTGCTGTCCTCAACACATGGTCTCTGAGTTTGCTACAGGAAGAGAAAGGGAAGACATAAGGAAGCCACATTAGATACCCAGCCATCTCAGCCCAGAAGGGACACACCACCTTTCACGTCCCTTTGGTGTGAACTAGCCGCCTGGCTCCATTTTGCTGTGCACTGTCTGGTAACAGTCAGGGCAGCTCTACATCAATGTAAGGATGCTGGTCTTTATCTTGTAGGAAATGCTAAAGCAGGGAGATGATGTGACCACATTTATGTTTCTAAGAAGTGCTGTGACAGCAGAGAGGGAAAGGGATGAGAGGATTGTATGCATGCTGCATATTCTCTATCAGGTGTGACGGGGCTAGACAGGAAGTGACAGATTCCTGGGAGCAGACAAAATTGACCGCACCTGGCCACACGGTGGATATGGGCGGCGAGAGTGAAACTGGAGTGGAGGTTTCTAGTTTGGGTCCAGGCGTTCCTTCTGAAAACAAGGGGATGAGCAGGTTTTGGGGAAGGGAGTGTGTGAACATGCTGAGTTCTCCACGTCAGCTGAGCTACCTGGCCCCTCTCAGGTTCTGCAAGGCTTCTCACTGAAGACATCTTTTCAAGTGTTATTTCAAAGGGTGCCGTTTTCAGTTTTCAGGAGCATCTTTTTAATTTCCTCTGCCAAATGGCATTCATCCTGTAGGAAATTTAGTGTTAGCTTTGGGAAATGCAGTTTGGCTGGTGAAAGGCTGATTGCATGGGGTATTCTTCCTGAGCTCCAAAGGCTGGTTCTCATGTGCTGGGGTCTACTCTGAAGAACATGGCCTCTAGATTCTCCTGTACTCTGATTTCTTTCTTTTTCATTTTACTGAAAATGCCTTTTTCTGTTTTACTGACTCATAGAAAAAGCAACAGTCTTCTTCCCTGCGACTTCTCAATTTTTAAATGACTAATGGATTGTGTCTGTGTAATTAATATTTGCTAACACAACTTTGATTCTAGCTTCTCTGATGGTGATACATCCGACTTTGTGCTTGTTGGAGATGATGCATGCAAAAACACATGGCACGTGTAATACCCTATGTGGAAAATATTTTTGTTAGTATTACCACTGTCACTACAAAGTCAGCAACACAGCAGCAATATTTGTCTTTTTTGATTTATTTCAGTTGGTTTAGATGGCTACTATGTTTATTGGTGATTTTGTTGTTTTATTTTGTTTACTGAAAACAAGAAAAGGAACCATACGACATTCTAGAGGAAAAAAATGCACCTGTACTACTAGAAACCCCAGTAGAAGTAGAAGCCCATAACGAACCACCGATGGGACAATCACAAGAAAAATCATCACCAAGACAAGAAGAACAAACAGCTGAGGAACAAGAGTCCCCCGAGCAGCCGTACCTGGAACAGCCATACCGAGAGCAGACACCTCAGACTCCAGAGTCCCCCGCGCAGCCATACCTGGGACAATCAAGCCAAGATCAGATACCAGAGAGGCCGGAGTCCTCCACACAGCCGTCCTTGGGACAGTCATCCCGAGAGCAGAC